AAACAAAGGTGAACCAATACAAAAAACTCACTTTCTGGTGATTTCAAAAACTCTGGTGAACTTGTGCAATTATGGTGCCGAACATTACTCGACTCCAGCGAAGACATATCAACTCGTTAACAGAGTGTAGTTTTGGATGATGCGCTGATTAGCTTACTCAGTAAAACAAGTTGAATTTCAATAAATAATAAGCAGGTTTGGAAGCAGGTAAAAAACCAGGTCTTATAAAAACAAGATCTGCAAAGAATGCACAACTCGTGATTGTTTTTTGCAACTCCACAAGTAGAACACGATAATCAATACATAATATTAAGTATAGCAAACCTGTTAATATTAGAAAATCTGGATACATAAAATTAATAAGCTTTGTCAGGTAAAATCCGTCGAAACTAAAGGTTTGTAGAATATGAGAGTGTTAGTAAATTAGTCGTTCACTTTCTGTATTTTTCTGAAATGTTTGTCGACTTAATCCATATTTTCGTAGTAAAATATTAAGCTATAACGTGTACACTGGAAAGTTGCAAAAACCTGAATTTATCTCATTTTCAATTATCACTTGGCCATTAAAAATCTAAGGGAATTATAAAAAAGACTTCACCCACTTGTAGCACTTCAGCACTCGAGGACTTCCGTTAGCTTCTCAGTAGTCGTGTAATGATAATTAAGCGATATAACGGACATTGAATACCAATTTAAACCATGTTGGCTGTACCAACTTTTTCAAACTCGGTCAATCATTATATCCATATCCAGTCACGTGGTATGAGACTTTGATGTCACTCCTGACATATTGCATCGCAATTTCCTGGTGAATTTGGTTCCTTATCACATAGTCGATAAGGCTGAACATGCATCTCTGTCTGCATCGAATTTCATTTTTTTCCTTTCAATTCTTAGCTATCCCTTCCGTGTTTTTTAAATGTATAAGATTATCCGACAAAACCGACGTCCAAATCAATCACACTTAGAGCATTTTCTTTCATACTCCTTAACTTATTGACTCAGTCGTTCAGTCATGAAGTGAATACAATGATAATCACTCAACTACCTTTAAAAGGTTACATAACGTCGAATCTCGTAACGGGACGTCTTCCTGAATTCTCTGCTTCAGACTAGCAGTGGATGAGCAGAATTTTGTTGTATCTACTGACGACATAATGCTAGAGTTTGTTACCAACCCATCATCTTATCATAACTGCTCACTACCTAATATACTGGGATTACATGTCAGTATTCATAAACCAAGAAAAACCATGAGGACCCCGATTTCGTTCACACAGTCTGAATCCAACTAGACATAAAAAATACCCTCAAATCTATTTTCATTTCTTATGTCTATATAACGTTCATCTTCATTTGGTAGGTTTCAAAAATTCCATTATGTATTTTCGTGTTGTATGTGAGAAAACTATCATGCTTAATTTCGTTAAATGGAAATTTCTTCGTTTCGCCTTTTTAGTTAAGATGTTACTTCTATCGCTATCTGTATGCAGCTATATTTCTCTTTAACCATACGTTCGTTTATAATCAAATTACTGATGGGCAGCTTCCAAAACGTGATAAGCTCCTTTATATCGCAAAGGATGTTACTACTACTTTAGCTTTGTTGGACTTCACACTTTCAGTTCTGTAGGGTACCATATTGAGTGGTTTTACTCTCGTATAATACTGTTTGTCTTGATTGACCAGACCCACTCCTAGCGGACAGAGACCTTACTTACTGTGGGCTAACAAAGCTTGCTTTTTTGTATTTCCAACTTCTTTTTTTTGAGCTGTTTGATCAGTGAGTCTTTTCCATTTTTCAGGCAATATGACTGTTTCTGAGTGGTTTGAAACACGATTACGAGTTTGCTAGTGATCAGCGTCTATTCCCAATGTTTTAGTAGCTTACTGTTCTGTAGTCAACCTCCCAAATCTGTTCAGTTTTGGTACAGTTACTTAATTGAAGGTAAAGGCCAGGGTCACTGATATTACAGCTGATTTTCAAAATTGCAGAATTTCATACAAAAATGCATTATACGTTGACGAATGGTCGAAAGTAGTCTCACAAACCTACTCTGTGTTTGAGATATATTTTGAACCTGTAATAAGTGGCCGCTAACGATGCTTTAAACATGACCAATCGTGCAGGGTTACTGTAAGATCCATTTTGAATGTTTTGTGTGTTTGTGAAAATCCCTCCATGTATATACTTGCCCTTTGTTCCTATTGATCCCCTTAGTTGTACATTGTTGTCTTTTGATTACATTTGAATTGTTAATATTTGTATTTTATTAGTTTTATTTTTATTACGCCTTCACTAAGTTTTCATGTTTCTTCCCGAACTGCATCTGTGTTGTTTTACTTGACACTTGTTCTTGGCGGTAGCCATATTGAGTTGCCCCTCCTTTTGTGTGTTCTATCATGTAGGGATAGAATAACGTTCATTTGTTGTGACTGGTAATTTTCCCTCATATTTCATCAACTAATTTATTTATTGTAATTTAGATTTTATTGATTGAACAATTATTGGTTGAATAGCCGGGTGGTAATATTTGTTTAGGTAACGATTTACATTTAAATTTATGATGAATTATAGAACCGCTATTTACCCAATTACTTGTTTTGATTTCGACGGGAAAGGGCGCGTGTCTAACGTACCTGGAAGGCTATTCAGCAGTCCAAACCGTAGTTTGGATCTTACAGTTACTTTCATTTGAGCCATCGTACAATTTTAAAAAGGCTTAACACATTATAATGCTGTGCATTTTGACAGCTCAAAGTTGAATTTCAACGAAGGATAGTTCTTTATCATCTTAAAGAGCCTCTAAATATTCTGTTTATCATTCGCGATGCAATAGGTTCGATGTCGAGCGCTCCGTAACGGAGATCTAGATCAGTGGAAAAATGCTCTGAACAGTTGTCAAACCGCCGATTTCTTTGTGATGTTGGTTTCTAACAACATGATTCTCTAGTCTGAACATACTGATTAGCACTTAACACGAACCACTTGGAGGAGCCCGGTAATGGTGAACGAGGTAACAGTCAATAGATAAATTGAAGTGGCATAGCTCGACCATGAATTCATGGTTACTCTATGTAAAAGCTATTGCATTTTGTATTGAAAATACTACTCTCCATCCAGCCCAAATATGTTCCTCAGAAACGCTAGACGTTATATTGCTGACTCCTTTGATAGAACGCGTCAGTGTAGACGATGATGTGATCACCATGTGAGGTCTTGTAAATCAGGTCTACACATCATGACATATCTTCTTTTGGGGATTAGGTTCATTATAATACCACCAAAGATAGTAGTACTATTAGTCCGCAACTTCTCTGATTTTCCAGCACGCAAATAAAATGTATTCAGATAATTTTAGTTGCTAATTTGGCAATACATACATGCTCGTTTTCAAATATAGTAAATATGACGCTAACATTATTGAAACTTATATATTATTGCATTGTCGAAGTAAGCCAAAATGTTTTCTTCACAACACTTATGTACCCATACGATGTCTGTGAATAATAATAACGATTGGTGATAATGCGCAAGCGAAGAGGCAGCAGACACACTAGAAAAGCAGTGGAAAGATGTGTTCTTTGAGTGATAAAAGTCCGCATATATTTATGAGTGTTAATCGATGTGGATTTAATATTAACTGTTTGTGTTGACAACAAATAAGAGAATAGATAAAGATTGATGTGCAGACAAATTTACATAGTGGATAAAATGTCTAAATTACTGCGTGCAGACAAGTAATAAAATGGTTGGATGATTTACTACAAACTATCCTCTTAATTACAAATATTAATAAAAAACAAAGCCTTAATTCCTTCATCATTAGGAATGAGAATTTATGGGGCACGCGCTTTGTTGATACCCTTTGTAGTAAACTTGCGATTAAGTTTGATTATCACGCCCATAGCCTCTCGACGATAACAGTTTATTTAACCGCGATGAGCATACTAATATGATGTGCAGTACGAGGACATGTGCCTATATGCTCCTTAGCTACTTTTCACGGTTACGGAACCCATATAATATTCTAGAATTCTTTCATCAGTTCATTTTTTGTGCGTTTAACACTTCAAAATCTTTCTTCCGACTATCCCGGGACATTATTTTTAGTGTAAATGATTGTTTCAAACCATTTTCCTAAAATATTTTTATTTTAGTCATGTGGATGCTAGAAATTAACATTGTTCTCTCGTACCCTTTTTTTGTGGATGTGATGAAACACATGTGTTAAGTCTCACTGTGATGCGGAAAACACCTGACACGGTTGTATTGTTTATGATTTCTGATTAACAGATTCTTCCTAATAGCTTCCACTGCCTTTAATGGGTTCTGACGATGAGTCTCAAATTGTTGCCTATTCTATACTCCGCATGATATTTAAGCGAAATTTGAGTAATTTATGCTGAATTATGAAAATATCGTCCACAAAGCATTGTCATTCGCTTTTGTATTCACTCAATAAACTTAACACATTCTTGTCGGTTATACAGTGTTTGATAACCAATGTGGAAAGAAATTTTTGAACATGTATCCTAACAGTGTGTTTAATTATACCCATGATCTGAAAACTGAAACTGTTTCTTCACATCGGAAGCTCATATAAATCAAACTGTCATTTTTATTTATTCTGAACCATCATCTAGGATTATTCTGTCCACGAAGCCTTCACGAGACTTAATATTCTTCCATGAATCTTGATGCACTAATACTGAGAGTTCTTGGTCATGATCATTGGAATACGGCCTTAAAAATAGCTAGGGCAGATTAAGCACCAAATGTTTTTTCTAGTAAATGGACACTAATCCACTCACTTTCAGGTCAAATAAACCAATTAAAAGATAATTTTCTGATACTGCTGCACGTTAGCCTTCTCTGATGACGAAAAATATCCAACTCCTGAATTTTAAAACTAGCTTCGGTGTTAGATTTGTTTTTACTTATCAATTATGATTACAGCTAACAACCTTGACAACTTTGCTTAGTTTGAATACACTTCGAAATGATTATTGTTTTCTGAATTTTCAAGTGTCGTTATGCATACTGTAGAGTCAATAATCGTTTCTCCGAGATACACAAAAAACATTTCAAACGAAAGTGAACTGTATTTCAATTCTAATTGTCAGAGGAATAAGTATCCAGCTATCTCTAAATGTCGTGATCAATATTACGCAGATAGAGTTAGTTATATTTCCTATTCCCCTCATCAGCGTAACAACAGGAACTTGAGTCGCACGAATGTAACTTCAGTCAGTCGACGCAACACACAAGTATATGACGACTCATCTTTATTATGTAATCCACGTAGTTTCGTCAACTCTGACTTATCTTTTTCTTGTAATCATCCACAAAGAGGAAATTCTTTCAACTGTTCTCAAAATTATGGAGGTTACCCACTGTCTGGAAGGCCAAGAATATCTAACCAAACTTCAAAAAGTTATTTAAGTCCCTCCATTTTAAATTTGAGCAGTGGAACCTGTAACAGGTCACTTCGCGATTTGCGCAAATCTCCGGAAAGACATGTTAGTACCAGTAGATATCCTTATTTCACGAATAAATCACCGAAAGCGAGAAATGACTTCAAGCCGTTTACGTACTTGAAAAACATCGAAAGAGATCATGATATTCAAAGACAGTACTTATTTGGAAGTGTAAAACCTCGTGACTGTGGAATCGAATACGATCTTTTATCATCACAGCCCTTGGAAATGAATCAATACACCCTTCCTTTAGAATCGACTAAGGGAGGAAGTTTAATGCTAGAGAATAAAAAGGAATTCAGTCTGAATACATTTAATCCAACTGATCGTGATTCTTCCTCTGTTATTCATGTCAGACCTCATCGTATGCGAAAAACTATTGACATAAAACAGAATGACAAAACTCTTGACGATCCTTCATATAAGCGTCTGTCGAAATGTCTCCAGTCAAAACCTAGGACATCTTATGATGGTTCTTGTTGTATGTCAGGTACTCTTGCCGTCACTTTGTATGGATCGAAACTCACCGTATACGAACGTAATGAAATTCAAGATTATGCTGAGGTATATTTCCTAGGGCTTAATGCCCCCAAAAGACATCCACTTGGAAACTCCATCAGTGATGCGTCATATAAGAGAAGTAGCATTATTTCGATTAGTAATATGACTGGGTTCGACGATGCACAAAGCAGTTATATTCTCGTCCCTAATGATCATTTAGCTTATCGATATGAAGTTCTCAAACCCCTGGGCAAAGGAAGCTTTGGTCATGTTGTCCACGCAGTTGATCATTGTACAAAGAAGCAAGTTGCAATAAAAATTGTCAAGAGTGAAGCTAGATTTACTAGACAAGCTGTTGAGGAGATTCGCATTCTCAAAGCCCTCAACGGGCAACAAAATGATGGAGAGTTTAATGTTGTACACTTAGTGGATCACTTCATATTTCGAGGTCATGTGTGCATGGTGTTTGAATTACTTTACATAAATTTATATGAACTCATCTGCCGTAACAATTTTAAAGGATTTTCTCAGTCTTTAGTGAGAAAACTTACTTATGGTATATTATGTTGTCTTGAACTTCTATATCGGTGAGTATTTTCATAGAGGTTTTTCTGTTTGTACGCTGTGTTACTTTAGAATTTAAATTGCAGTGCTTCTAAAGTACCACGTGGTTTAAAAAGTCATATGAGCGTTCCTAATTTCATTTAATCAGTGACCTCTTATGTCGGTTGAGTAGAAACGTCGTGATGCTCTATCGGTGTCTTGGGTAGGAGTACCTTAACTACTGATGATTTTTGACTGTAGTTAACAGCTTCATACTTGGTTTCTTTGACGTAAATCATGGCAGTGAGTTTCAAATTAAAACTCGTTAATTTGAAATGCCTATATCAGCCAAGTATTAAATTTTTCACAGTATCAGTCTGACAGGCTTGTGATAGTTCAACTTTGTATATCGTAATGTATCATCTGCTTTTTTGAGTGCACATATTGTCTTAGTGTAGGGATACTTCCATTCTTCCGTAAATTTGTGGTCTGAATGTTCAAAATAAATCAATGTATGTTGTACCTTGCTCAATAATCATTATATTTTTGTTGAATCCTAGAGTTACTACAGTCAGCTAATACTTTATCAGTAACTGATCCCTATAAAAATCCTTGAAATGTTGATATGACTGTTTTACAATACACCCCGAAAACCGCATACCAGTTTCTCTCAGGAGTTGAGAAATCATTGAGAAACAAGAAATGAGGTTTTATTTGTAATACGTTGTATTTAAAATGGAGAGAGTTAATAGAAGCAGAATCTACGATGGAGCAACCCGTTGAGTTTGTTTTAAATAAGTCAGGTACATAGCCAAAATATTTCGAATAATGTACTCCAAGTTTGACGTCAAAACTTTTGAATAGATAAAGTTTTTGAGTAGTTTTAACAAACAATTACACATGAGCGTTTGAAAATAAACGTAAAATTTTGAGTTTTAATCCACACAGTTCTTATGTGAAGTTTAATTCTTTTATAATTTGTTCAAAACATCTGAAAACTTCTAACACGAGCATTATAACTTTACTTTGACAAATTTTGTGTTTATGTTATTTATTTTGTTCAGATTTTTTGTCTTGACAAACATAGAAAGGAAACTGAAAGAATACATAAAAAGTGTGCTTTATAAAAATATGGTCACTATATTTTAAAAAATCAAGCCAATAAACGAAATCTATCGACTTTAACCTTGTTTAAGACTATGATGAGTCTCGACATTATTCGGTTTAAAGAGAATTTGACAGTAACTAAAGTCTATATCAAAATCTGAATATCAGTTAGTGTTAACCACACTTTGTTAAAATCCATCTTAAAGGGGATTTACATCAAAATGTTGCATCTCTAAAAGTGTTTTAAATAAAAAAGTGTTTCTCTGTTTCCGAGAGGTTATGCACCTACTTGTTGATGTGGCTACTAGAACAACAAAATATTAAGGATTGAATCTGTATCACAACACTATATCTAAACTTATTAGTGAGGTAAACCAATGCTAGGGCTTCTTCGATGAAAAGAATATTCGTATAATTAGCAAACAAAAGTTAATGGAAATTACGTCAATAGTCACGTCTTGCAAACTGAATTCATGCATTTGTCGTGACATTTAGTTGTTTTGGTACGACAAAATTTATGAGTAGGTTCACACTAAGGTGAAAACTAATACTTCATTAATTTGTATGCTTATGCTAATAAAATACCCATTCACCGGAATAAAGAAAGAATCACCTATTATGTTCGAGATCAATTTTTTAGAAAACGGGTATCTGTAAGGCTTTATCAGGGAATATGAGCAATAAGAATAATTTTCAGAGGGTATATGCTTATTTTTAAAGGAAATAATTCACAGGAAATTTAAATTTAGGTCTTTTGTTTATCATACATTTTCAAGCTGCCTGAAGCGGTCAATATGAATTACATTTCACGCAGCAAACTTTGATATAACCCACTGCAGGCTATCTGTTATATGACTTTATATGAAAACTCTACAAATTAACTTAAATCACTTCATCTGTCTCTGCACATTTGTTTGTGCAAACAGTCCTCTAAAACCTCCTTTTCACTGAATTCAGACGAATTTTTAACGTGGATTAGTGCGAGAATAGCACAGATACATTAATTTTACTATCCTGGACCATGTAATATATTCAGGATATTTAATTATAGATTGTTAGTTACGCGGTACACATATGACACGTATTTGAAAAGCTTTACCCTGAAACCACTTTACACTGCAATCTTTAATCAAGCACAATTTGAAACAATATATTTGTGTACAAAAGTAATTTTCTTGGTCTCTCTTTTTACCATAGCTGTAAATTTAGCATAATTCGAAATTATGCAATGTTTAAAAAGGTGTTTTTGGTTTTCATCTTACTCTAAAGCAAAAAAAATAACTATTTTTCTTTTTATACACATAATGTATTAATTTTCAAATTGTACGCCGCTAAAATTGTCTTATATACTCAAGTGGTTGAATATTTTCCACTCTTTAGAGCTGCCTACTCATAGCTTTTCAAATTATTTTTGTAGTACAACTTGCTACGCTAGCATTATAACAGTTGCGTAGGTGGACTTTAGATAAATTTAATACAGGATTGTTTAGCTTTAAGAAGTGACTCTTTACGACAAACCCATTTCATTAAGATACTTGTCTGACTATGTTGAAAATTGACTAATTATGTTAATCAAAATTGAAAGTCTTTAAATATGAGAATTTGATGAGTCATACAGACAAAATGGAAGCATTTGGTGTGGTGATAGCCGATTAACAGCACAGTATGATTCTCGGTTTCGAAAGGTTTTAGAGTATAAGGATTATGAAGGAAGTCTAGACCTTCCGTTATCTGATCCAATAGTTTGGCTCCTCAAGTTATATAGTTTCCATTTGAAAGTGTCTGGATTGGATGCTGGACGTTCTAACCGAATCTAAAACATAATTTCTCTTCATCATGTTTATAGAGGGGAAAATTTGCATCCATTTGACTTTACTGTTATTGAGGCTGAAATTTTCAACAAACAACCTTTTTGAAGTTTTCTAAGGATTAAATGGTAATTAATTACATATTTTAAATATTTTGTCTTTAAACCCTTAAGAAGTGATTATTCAGTGTCTTTACACTGGCTAAAAGTCCATGAAACTGATTCAAGGAAATGTTTTTTTCCTTTTTTTCGATCTTGAAGTTTAAATGCATGCACAATAAAAGATAAATGAAGAGGTCGAGAGATTACAAAAATCTTATTGTGTAAAGTTTAATTTCAGTCAAAAAAGACAAACTTCAATGAATGTTCAATGAAAACAAAGATATATATTTAAATATATTCATATTTTCGTAGTAATTTGTCTATTTTATTTTTAATAAGAGCTATTATTTTCTGAAATATCACTTTAAATACTTTATTTTGTTTTATAAGTAGAAAAGCATAACACTAGCCATACACTAATTGATAGTTACTAATGATAAAGATATTCAGTGTAAAGGGAAAGAGTAAACGTAATTAATAACAATGTGAAAACTGTACATTACTGTTAACTGTATTGCCGTTTAAACCTGTGTATTAATTTTTTGAATTTTATATATACTCAATTACTTCTTTTTAGTGTTTTATATATCTTCCGTAATTTGTTTACAGTTAACCCAAAGTTTCACTTTTAAACTTTACTAAAGAAATGAAAAATTGCTTACCTATTTATCCGTTTGTCATCAATTCATTCATGTCTGTAAACTAGTATTTTAGAAGCACAACCATAATGTTGTATTGAAACAATTCACAAAAAAACAATACCGTACATTTTTAAAAGGATTTTTCGTAGATTTCATTATTTACATACTTTTATTAACCATAGTAATTCATCTATTTTGTATCATTACGTATAAATGTGCATGGACAAAATAACTGACAAAGAAAGGTAACAATATTTGATTCATTTTCCCTCTTCCCAATTGTGGAAAACGACGAATGGTATATTGATAAATTCATGATTATTATTCATTGTTATATATATATAGGCAAATGATTTCATGTATACATTAAAGGCTTAGCCCCATGTGTTTGTCTGCCAACCTAAATCATAAAACTATTCAACAAGCAATTATTTAGGTAATTTGTTATGAATTTAAGTAAATCCAAAATTATATAATTTTCAAAATTAAAAATCACGAGTCGATCTAAGCTGGACCACTATTTAAAGCCTGGGGAAAATGCACTGCCGTTTCGTCCATCATGGGACTTCTCAGCTGTGCGCTTCTACGATTTCGTACTCAGAACTCAAACCAAGAACCTTTGGCTTCGCGCGTAACTACTTAACCTCTAGACCACTGGATTCGAGCCGTGCGTACGGGATCGTGGATGAGCACTGCTAATAGGTCCCATGATGGGATGAAATGGTAGTCCAGTGCTTCTAGATTTTTAAAGTTGGTCTTACTCAGATCGAATGGCAATTTTATCTGTGAAAACACCACAATCTCCACTAGTCCATATACCGATAATTAAGTAATTATTTCATAAATAAGTATGAAAAGAATAGTAATCAAATTACGAACAAATATATATTTTCTCTAGATCCCATTTATTCCATAACTTACTTACTTACTTACTTACGCCTGTTACTCCCAACGGACGATAGGCCGCTGACCAGCACTCTCCAACCCACTCTGTCCTAGGCCTTCTTTTCTAATTCCATACAATTCTTGTTCATTTTTCTCATGTCTATCTCCATTTCCCAGAGTAATGTGTTCTTTGGTCTTCCTCCTTTCCTTTGGCCTTCAGGATTCCATGTAAGGGCTTGTCTTGTGACGCAGTTGGGTGCTTTCCTCAATGTGTGTCCTATCCACTCCCAGCGCTCCTTCCTGATTTCTTCCTCCGCTGGGATCTGGTTTGTTCTCTCCCACAGTTGGTTGTTGCTAATAGTGTCCAGCCAACGAATCTGAAGTATTTTGCGTAGACAACTGTTAATAAACACCTGTATCTTCTGGATGATGGTTTTCGTAGTTCTCCAGGTTTCCGCCCCATACAGTAGAACTGTCTTGACGTTTGTATTGAAAATCCTGA